AATAAAAAGTTAATGTATGAGCTCTGCATTATACTGTAACACTGAAAATTGTTACTCCACCTATATCTGTACCTCTACAGTAACAGAGTGTGGCAGTTATTTCCCTTATAGAGAAAAGCCATTAATAAAACAGCACAGAAATGAGCAGGGTAGAAAACTAAATCTACATTGCAATCCATATGCATTTACAAACACAACATTTTTATATCACCAATGGCCTTCATGTAATCACCTTTAACAATTAACTCTGCAAAACATTATTCTTCTATAATTGTTTTAATATTAGGAAAAACAGCACAACATTTTTACTGAAGAACAACCTCTTTCTGGGTGGATTTACAAAAACAGATCTACACATCTCTGTCTGCAGACAAAGACAAGATATAGCAAGATCCCACACTGATATTGAAAAATAAGCCCCAAGCAGAAGAATCTCACAATACATTAGAATAATTTCCTATGGATTACTGAGCTGCATGTGACAGCAAGAGAAGTACCACTACCTCACCTCTTTTGTCATTACAGAGTAACAGAACCTGTTGGGGTGGCAGAAAAATTGTTTTCACACTTACTCAACAAACTCTGAATTCAGGTACAGGTTAAACATCCTGCAACTCTACACGCTAAAAAATGTTAGTCATTCTATCTTCAAGAAACAGGAGAATTTTCATCATAGCACCATATCCCAACAGGTTTAATTCTTGCTCTCTTTAAAACAACTGGTCTAGCTTTTTTAAACAGGGAAATTTCTTACCAACAAATATACTTTTCACTGTGTATAGAAAGAATTACTGGTATTGTTGGATTAGACTAGAAAGATTTTCTGACCAATATATGATGAAGTCTAAGGAGAATATTCAAGTTAAATAACTGGCTTAGTGGATTTGCAGTACAGTAGTTTTAATTCCCAGCTTTGGAGAAGTTGCTTCCAGTCATAATATTGCTTATGCATTCCATCATAGGCAATAATTTCTAAAAATTTGCCAAAGCTACTTTGTTTATTCACATGGAAATCATTTTAAGATTTTCAACACCTGTACTCTACTGGACTGAGGATACAACATCAAATCCTTGTTCTCAAAAGGCTAAGAGTAGTGTTGCAAGAAAACCCAAATTCCAAAATAATCCTCTTTAATCCTCTTGATGTCTCTCTACCAAAAAACACTCTTCTGTTGTTAGAATATTCTTCACATGCCAGGTCAGTATCACATTTAGTGAAACTCAGTCTGAAGCCTCTCTCATCTTTGCACAGTATTACTTCTGTAGAGACTAGAAGTCATTACTCTTACTTTTACACATGTTTTGCATCAAACCCCAGGAAGTTAATCTGGGTAGAAACTACTGCATCTTTTTCAGGTATAGCTCCTGCACTCCCAAAACAAAAAATTAATTGGTTGATTAACTGAGGTTAGCTCATCTGAGTCAATTAGTTGACAGTCCTAAAGACTCATCACAGATTACTACAAAGTAATATTTCATGAGCAATTTGAGTTTATTTGTATTTAAGCCTTCTGGGCAGCTATGCATACTGATTAATAGATCTATTTCCATTTATTTCCCTGAACTTCATTCTAACTGGTTACGCAGCTGAAGTTATCTGTAACTTCAACAATCTAGTAAATGTTATACTCTTGATAACATACCAGAATTTTTTCTGTATTCAAGGAAAGTATAGATTCACAAGACGATGGTCCTCCTATGTCACAATCTGATTCATGGAAGTGCAAAAATGATGAATCTACGAGAAGAGAGAGAAAATACTTTCAGAACCCAAAGTTACATGTATGTTATATTATCACATCTCACATTTCCTCATGTTTGGCTGAACATCTTCCCCACTGGGCATCCCACAGGGAAGAACTTTCATGAAGTGCTTTCTGCCCATAGCACTACATGCACAGAGCCAGGGAAGCAACAGCTGACATGAAAGCTTCATATAATTAGTTTTATCCCTACTTATGCTTATGGCTAGAAATAGATTAATAAAAAGAGGTGCTAAAAAATGGGGCAGAGGTGAAAAAGGAGGAAGTTGTAAGCAAATATCAAGAGCTTGGGGTAGGCACATCCTCTTTCAGCATTATGGTTCCATTCTCTCACCCAAAAAGTAACATATAAAATTATCATTCCAATCCCAGGGTGGTAAAAAGCAGAAGTTCAAAGTTTAAAGCCAGTCCTGTCAGAACAGTGGCAACCACTCATAGTTTCCAAAAAGAGCGCTGCCAGAATGAGGTTTCATCACTGCCCTTTGTTCTTCATATTGGTCAAATACTCCTGTGCTATACCAGCGTTATTAACACGTTACTTCCTCCTGTTGGTGCTTGTGATTCAGTAACTTAAGAGTTTTGGCTGCAGACTCAACAAGAAACTGTCACTTCAGACATCAAAACAAAGAGGTGCAGGCATGGCCTACCTCTGGAAAAATTTTCTTCACAACAACAAGGATTTAGTGAAAGAATTTTTTGTAAGGTGGTAGGGAATAAGACAGCCAAGCCACAAGCTTGATACAAGCTACAGCAAGGAAAGGCCCCTCAAATCTTGCAGTTCTCAGGGCAACAAACTGCTTTCTCACATGGAGAAATAGATCTGCCTTTGTTTGCAAGTTGGACACAATCAAAATTGAACCACACTAACAACTTCATGAAAATGAAGTTTTCTTCATTTTCAGAAACAACAACCAGAGAAATACTTTGGACCTTGTAGCAGGCTACAGGGAAGACTGAGACAAAAAAAAAAAATCTCAGCTTCTGTGCAGGTTGTACTAAAACAAAGACCAAGAGCTTAAGGGAATTTTTCAATTGGCAATTCATTAAGTCTGAACACTTAAACAGCAAGGAGTGAATTACTATACAGCTATTTGAAGGTAAGTATGTTCTGTAAGTCAGGCCTATCTTACTACCAGTGCATGCAAGGTACCTGAGATACTTGATGATTCAAGCAGAATTCTTTGTATCAAACCTAGTTACACTGGTTTCTTTAAAACAACATCCGCCATTAAATCAAAATCTAATCTTCCAATTCCACCTCAGAAGGAGTACCTTGAGTCAATCATTCATGTCAGGTCTAGTAACAGATGTAATCAAGCGCTTTGCCATTTATTAACTTGTAGGATATACAGATTTTTATCTCAGCACTGGGTGAAAGTCTCCTTGTTTTATGCTTAAGCTTGAATAATTTGTAGCAATGGTTATGTGAGATAACTTTCACGATCTGATTTCATGTTTACATACTATGGCTCTCAGCCACTGTAGTACACACACACACAAAAAGGTGATAAAAACCAACCAAAGAACTTTATAATGTGAAAACAAAAACACATACCCAAGGGAGGGCAGAAAGTAAAAACCCAAGTGCAGGAAACGTGTAAGAAGTTATTTCCACAACATCTATTATTCAAACGGATTATTCTAATTTTATATTAGTTGTTAGGGAGTACGGGAATTGTTGATACAAGTACAGGCTTTATGAAATAAAGGGCAGAAAAAAAATCACAAAACCATGCTGACAGCTAAGATGTCATGACACATCACTGGTTATTCTCTTAGACATAATTTAGCTTATGTATTTTCAAGCTTAAGCATAAAACAAGGAGACTTTCACCCAGTGCTGAGATAAAAATCTGTATACCCTACAAGCATTCCAAGCAACTGACAGACCTTTTTCTTCATCTGTATTATGCTCACATTGTGATTCAGACTGGCATTTTTGTATGTCCCATTCGCACCATCCTCAAGATCAACAATCATAACATATTAAGCCACACGACCCAGACACAAAAGGTATCCAAGCAGATAAAAATAGTTTTAACTATGCCTGTATTACAAGACACCAATTAACCTGAAAAATAGCAGAAGATCTGCTACCCAAACTTGGCACTCATAAAGAGAAGCATCCAGGTCACCAGTAAAGCAGATATAACTGTAGCTGAAATTAAATCAAGCCACATTTTGGAAACAGAAACACGGAAGTGATAAGAGTTGGAAGAGACCTATGAAGTCCAACACTCCTCCAAGGTCACCTCGAGCAGGTGACACAAGAACACATCCAAGTGGGTTTTGAATGTCTCCAGATAGGGAAAATCCACAAGCTCCCTGGGCAGCCTGTTCCAAGTGCTCTGACACCTTTATATAAAGTGGTTCTTCCTCAAGCAGAAGTGGAATTTGTTGTATTTTAGTTTATGGCCATTGCTCCTCAACCTGTCTCTGGACATCACTAAAAAGTCTGGCACCATACTCTTGACACCTGCCTTTGAGATATTTATATACCCTAATGAGATTCCCTCTCACTCCTGTTTTCTTTAGACTAAACAGGCCCAGTTCTCACAGCCTCTCTTCGTGAGAGACGTTCCAGACCCCTGGACCCTCTCCAGCAGCTGCTTGTACTGAGAAATTCAGCAATATCAGCACGGAGTGCTGGCATATCCCCATACTACTGAGCGCAAGAATTAAAAAGCAGGCAGAGAAAGCAGGCAGAGTCCAGCTGCTGGGCTCGGGTGGTGAGCAGGGCAGCAGGAATCCTCCCGTGTGGTACCTAAGGTTTGCCCGTCCCAGGGGTGAGAGTTTTTTCTCGTCTCGCTGCCACAGCCTCGGTGGCTCCGCGCCACACAAGGGCACGGCGGGCTCGGCGCTGCCGCTCGCCGCTGGCAGCCGCGCCATGAGCCAGCCGGGCGGCAGCGGCGCGCACGAACGAGGGGCCGCCGGCACTCCGCACCGCCCCGGGCCCGCCGCCGGCACCCCGCACCGCCCCGGGCCCGCCGCTCCAGCGGCCCCGCGCCGCCGCCCCGGGGCGCGGACGGTCACCGCGGCGACGCCCCTGCCTCACCGCACTCGGCTGAGTACTGCTCCGCCCACTCCCCCGCCGGGCCGTGGCGCTGCCGGTGCCGCTCCTGCTGGAACAGGGACAGCGCCGGGTAGCGCTCGGTGAGGGCGAGCGCGGCCCGGGCCAGCAGGGCCAGCGCGGCCAGCGGCACCCACGGACCGCGCACCAGCGCGCCGGCAGGTGCCATCTTCACGGCGCGCATGTGCGCCTCCTCGGCCGGGAACACGGGGTGCCCCGCCGCCCCTCCCACGGGGCCGCCCTCGCACTGCCCCCTGGGACATGGAGTTCTCCGCCGGCACAGTCGAGCGTCCGGCAGCGCCAGGAAAACCACACCTCCCGGGATGCAGCGCGGCGCGGTCCGACTCAGCGGCGCTCCCGAACACGGAAACGAGGAGGCGGTGTGGAAGCGCTGACAGGGGTGGGCGTGCTCCCGCGCGCCATGGCGGCGCTCGGTGCCTATCGCTGTATCGAGTGCAACGAGGAGGCGACGGAGCTGTACCGGGACTACCAGCGCGGGGTGCTACGTATCTCCATCTGCGTGAGTCGGAGCGGAGAGCAGTGGGTGGGGGAGGCCAGGAATGCACGTGGGAAGCTTTGACGTCAGCAGGCGGTGTCGCGCGGCACGTGGCAGTGGGCCCGGTGACACGCGGGCTCTGAGCCCCTTGGAGCGCCCCCTGCTGCCGGGCTCGGGCCGGGCCCGCGGGCTGTGGCCGCTTTCCCCGAATCCAGGTGTCCTGTGAGGACAGGCTGGGAGAGCTGGGCCTGTTCAGCCTCGAGAAGAGACGACTGAGAGGGGGACTCATCAATGTGTACAAATATCTGAAGGGAGGGTGTCATGAGGATGGAGCCAGGCTCTTCTCAGTGGTGCCAAGCAATAGGACGAGACGCAATGGGCAAATACCGATGCACAGGAAGTTCCACCTGGATATCAGGAAGAAACTCTTCACTGTGCAGGTGACCAGGCACTGGAAGAGATTGTCCAGAGAGGTTGTGGAGTCTCTCTCACTGGAGATCTTCAAGAACCACCTGGCCTCAATCCTGTGCCATGTGCTCTGGGATGGCCCTGCTTGAGCAGGGAGCTTGGGACAGATGACCCTCTGTGGTCCCTTCCAGCCTGACCCATTCTGTGTTTCTGCAGGTTTTCTGTCTGCTCTGCTTCCCAATGTCATTTCCTCACGTTCCTTGGGTGCACCTGTGTGGTGCAGCTGTCCTGAGTGGCCTGCGTGCTTCTGTGCAGGGCAGTGCAGTGCATCTGCTGCTGTGTGCTCGGCCTGGCTCGTGCTGAAGGGCAGATCTGAGCGTGGCTCCATGGTTGAACACGGCTCCCGTGCCACTGGACTTAAATGTCAGGGTCCGAGTGATGACTATTTAAAGGGATGTGGGTCCTGGTCAATGGCAAGTTGAACATGAGACAGCAGTGCCCTGGCAGCCAGGAGGGCCAGCCCTGTCCTGGGGGGCATCAGGTACAGCATCACCAGCCCGGCAAGGGAGGGGATTGTCCTGCTCCGCTCTGAGCTCATGTGGCCTCACCTCGAGTGCTGGGGGCAGTTCTGGGCAAAGCAGAGTAAGACAGACGTAAAGCTATTGGAGAGCATCTAAAAGAGGACGACTAAGCTGGTGAAGGGTGTAGAGAGGAAGCCATATGAGGAGCAGCGGAGGTCACTTGGCATATCCAGCTGGGAGAAGGGGAGGCTGAGGGGAGACCTCATTGAAGTCTACAACTTCCTCTTGCTTATTAATCTGGTGCTGATAAACAGATTTAAGGCAACCTCGGAGCCAGTAGATGGCAGTCACTCCCCTTGGTATTTAACCATTTGAGGACCAAAGATCCTGGTCTGTTGGACTTGTGGCATGCCACGTAGAACCAAAGACTTAAGTCCCAGTTGCTGTATGCATCACAAATGCTAAACTCATATAAAAAGAGTAAAGAACTGAGTAAAAGGAAGAGCAAAGAATCGCACATTCCTAGCAATTTGGAATTCTGTCCACCTTTCTCCATGCAGGCCCAGATCTGTACCATTTTTCACTGACTCATGCCAGTCTGTTTCCTCTGGCTATGTTGTGTCATCATGGTTCAGTTTCAGTTCTGGTTGCTCTTATGTGGTGTATGTTATATAGTCACAAAACTTTCCCTCAATTTCTGGCCACTCAGGCAGTGCTGAGAGCCGGAGACATGTTAGGTCATGGCACATAGAGTGGAGATGAGAATGCTGAAAGATTGCCAAGATCAAAAGATTATTTCATTTGAACTGATGTGACTTTGGGTTTATCTCTGGATGGCAGGAAAGCCATACTCATGTCTCCAGCTACCAAGGCCCCATGGTTTCCAATAGAGCAATGCTTGGTTTGCTTTTTAATTTGCAAGGATAGTTTTGTCACTGTACCAGCTCTCTACAGGTATTCTATTCCATGCACACAAAGCTGTGCTCTGGTCAGAGACCTGGAAAGTTGTTCATCATGCTGCTGACAATGAAAATAGTCAAGTACTGAATGTCCTTTGATACCCTTCATAGACTTCCATGAGTAGTGATAGGAGTGTGTCAATGTTATGAAACTTCTTTATGATCAAACATGAAAATAATGATAGCTTAGAAGTCTTCACTTAAAAATATATGAAGACCCCACTTATCAGTGTAAAACATGATTTATATCAGTTATGCATAAAACATAGAGTGTAGGCCTCTGAAAACTTAAGAAAAGCTGAAGGTATTTAAGAAAAATTGAAGGTCTGAGGTGAGATTTGAAAGTGTGATCACTCAGCCTGAGAACATTTTTTACCTGTCTTCGTGGAGTGAGAGCACAGAGTGATCCACTGTAGCATTAAGATAGAAGTGAAAAGTTAATAGAAAGATTGTATATTGATACTCAAAGTGAGGCCAATGGGCATCATCTAGATATTTTTTTTGTTAAAAAGCACTTGTGTTTCATTCCCATTTTCAAGTTGTACCTGGAAATACTGGCACCTTAAGAAAAAAAAAAACAAACAAAAAACAGACAACAACCCCAATATTTGTTACATATAGTAAACAAAACAGAGAGTCCCAGAAAACTGGGAACAAGCAGAACATTGTCAGGATCGTCACTGTTTCATACTGACCTACAGACTTTTCCCCGATACTATTTTAAATTTATCCTTGATACATTAAGAAATCTGCATCTAAAAGGTCTTTGCCATTCTCAGGACAACCCTGTCATTCAGCACTTCTTGGACCATTATCTCAAGGTTGAAGAAGCTAAGTTCTCCCAGCAGCAACTTCTGTCTAGCCCTACATTTATTTTAGGATGTTTTTAACCTGATCTGGATGTGATTTTGAGGTGAAAGATTTAAATTTGAATGCATAAGCAAAATACCATGATTTTGTATTCTGTTATTAATTTGTTGAAGAGAGTGAATTTTTTTAAGAGGCAAATACTAAAAGCTTCCATTAAGGAACATGCGTTTCCAGCCCACAATATTAGAGTACAGTTTTGGAAATTCAGCCTAATGTTGCTTAAGTTTGGTTACTGCTCTTAATACAATTAAAAGTTTCTTTGAACTCCATATTGTAATTTTAATGTGGGCAAGCATTAAAGACCTCACAAATGTTATTATCCACCCTGGGAATAAATTTGCAATGGATGCTGAAGGAACTAAAGCAACTTTCTTCTATAAAACATAGAAGTCCATACAGTACACTTGGGTTGGAAATGTCATGCTTTTTTTAATAACTGTGCAAGGTGGCTAAGTGCCATAAATTCCTCAAGTTCTTTTTGAATCTGTTTTATTTAAGTAAGACCATTTTCAGCTTAAGCCTAGCCCAGACCTCTGGCATTGCACATTCCTTCTTGCTGGAGATTCACTTTTAGTGGATGAACCATTTTCTCATCCTGCAGATACTGAGCTGTGGAAGTAGCGTTACAAGAGACAGTTGGACCTCTTCAATATGGTTTTTGTTCAGTGGGATTACTGAGGAGCAATAGGGGAGGGTGTGGAATCTCTGGGCATGTTAGGATTGCCTCCAGTGCAGGTGACGTTTGGCACTCACTTTGCATCTCCTGGGTCTGGGTTTAGTCCTGATCCATGGATGTGCTGATGTGTTCCCTATTCCCAGAGACAAAGCGATGGTGAAAGTAAGCCTAGGTGGCTCCTTCTAGAGCAGGTTTTGGTAATTATTTTAAGACCCTTAATATTTAATTGATCTGTAAATAATACAGCAAATCTTTACTGAATATATTACAAACCAACCATTAAGAACAGTAAAGAAAAAATACTGTTCAAATAACACTGCTGCTACAGTAATAATTCTGGGGTCTGGAGTGGGAACACGTTTGGCTAACCTGAAATAAACTCTGCAAAGTGCAATAAATACAGAAAGAAATTAGCAAACTCCTTATTCAGAAGTAGAAGGAAAAGCATGCAAACATTTTTAAAATTTGGTTTTCAATTTCATATATGTTGTTATGTTTAAAAATAAAATGTTAAAAATGCTCCAGACCACCAGACCATAACAAAGGAAAAGAAATTACTTATTGCAATATATAGAGCACAGTCAGGATCCCCCTTGTGTTTTGTAATAAGAAAGCCAAATTGCCTGAGCAGTGCACACTTCATTTAGCCGTTCTGCAATTAAAAAATAATTGAAAAGCTTCCTTTTTTTTTTTTTTTTTTTTTTTTGCAACAAGGCAGAGAGACCTTGCTTTGAATGCAAATCATTTATGTGATATGGAAAAGAATCTGTCAAGAGTACAAAGATCATCCTGGAAAATAACATATGCTAATTTTATGTAACTATTTACAGGCCAACTCACTACTGGAAAAACAATATTTTTAATTTGCTTTCTGAAACTGAATGCATCTGAAACTGGGCTGTTTTGTTTTTCAGTCTACTGTGACACTTGGCTCCATCCCTAACAAAGAATTCATTTCTGAAAGCAGCACAGCTAATGTGTTTTATTATTTGAGGTTGCAATTGGGATTAAGGGCACTCTCACAAGAGCCTTTAATTTTCCTAAGAACCTATGCAAATGGGCCCCTGTTCACGTGGAAGCTATGTAAATGTTGTTACAATTTGCTGTATGTGTAGTCCAGCAAAAAATTGTATCTTAATTTTGCCAAACTCCAAACCCTGGAGAAAGGTATACTATAATTTTCTAATGCCTAGAGATTTGCAAATGTATTCCTGATATGGTTTTCATGGTAGTTTTAAATCAGGATGAAGCTTTATTCTTCAGTGTGTATTTTTACTTTCTATCATGTCCTATGGCTTCCTCTTCAAGAATTCTTTTACTTTCCACAAACCCCATCCCAAAATATTTTTATTTAAAAATAAGTAATGTTTTAAAATTAGAGACATTAATCCAAAAAAGTAACATTCATATACTTTAGAAACCTTATCCTTCAGGGACAGAAGGTGTTTTCTCAAGTAATTGTATCCTGTATTGTACAGGCACACATTTGTGAACACTGTTTCAAGTTGAATATCTTTGATGAACAAAGCAAGAGTTATGTCTTTTTAGTAATGATTTATAAAAGGCTGATAAATGTGAAGTTTGAATTAACATATCAGTGCTTTTTTTTGGTCATATTTAATACAACTGAGACTTTAAAATGTATGTTACTTTCCTTAAATGTTTTGGATTGCTTTGATCAAAAAGAATCTCATGTACTACATTATGAAGAAGATGGTCACTTTTGAAGTTTTCGTTTTTCTTTAATTTGCCTTTCCTAATTGGTTTTAAATTTTTTTGAGATAACTAAGCAAACTTCTAAGTTACGAAAGTGGAAGAGTTTCTTTAAAAAACAACAAGCGTAGTCAAATCTTCCTAAATATTTGATTAGCCAAAGAGTTCTTAAAGTAATAGCCATTTAAATTTGCTAGAATATTGATATACTTTTAACTTATCCTTTTTTAGGGGAGCACAGTATCTGTTGGACTTTCGTATGTCACTATCAAACGTTCATAATGTTCCTTAAATTTACCGAATCAGAAGATGTGTAAATAGAATTTTTGGTGTGAAGCTTGACTTTTTTCTTTTGCAATGTAATCTGAAAGTACCTTTTAATCAAAGTAGTGTCTATTTTTTCAAGAAAAAAATACCAGTTACTTATTTCTGATGCCAATTACATATTTAAGGCACAAGTTGAGAAAATGGCTAAAAGTGTAGAGAAATCCAGTTACCTCTTTCTCCTGCTTTTGTGATAACTGAGGCACATCTTTGAGAAAGTGCAAAGATGAAAAAGCTCAGTTATGTTAAAAATGTGCCTTCTTCATTCATTCTGCCCAGGCCACTGACTAGAGCTGTGCAGAACAGCAGTGGGGAACTAGACATGGGCACCAGGATTGTAGGTAAACTGCCTGACTAAAATCTTAAAAGTAAGTGTGCAAGCACTTCTCCATAGTTGGGCTGCTCATACTAATCTTCTCTCCAAGTGTTAGTAATTATCAGTGTCCTCAAAGTTACATGCCTTTAACTAGCTGAGACTATCTGGTGAAACGTGTGTACTTAAACTGCATCAGTCCTTGCTTGCACTGATTTTGCTGAAGTTGGACTTTACTCACAGGTTTCCTTCCTGGGCATTTGAGGTTGGTGTCAGATGTTTTAGTAATATAGCTGGAAAAAATAATGAAATAGCCAGGTATGGAAAAAATTCTTCCTAGAGGGCATATTAGTTCTGTAGTATACTAATGATACAGCAACCATCATCCAATTAGTCTGTAGCAGTGCACACACAAGTCTTTTGCAGCAAGGGTGGTTTGTAGGTCTGACAAATCCCTGGGTGACTGGCTAGGTCACTTGCTTGGTAAGCACAGAGGATTTTTCCTTCTTGCAACAGAGACTCAGAAATAAAGTATCTTAGGAATATAAAATATATTAAGAACAGGTCTGTCATCTAGCTCTGGAAGACAAAAATACTAAATTCAACATAATTTCCACAGCTGCAGAGAAGGTTTGCTATTTGACTGCCAGAAGCTGTGGGGCAGAAGACACCACTGTTTGTATAGTCATTTGCAGCAGTCTCTGCAGTAAATTTCTGAATTGTTGGTTTTGCCTGGATGGTTGGTCTGATAAATTTTCATTGTCTAAAAATCATTTCAGCTGTAAGTGAAAATTTTTCAGTACCTCTTAACTGCAAATTTTTTGATCAGTGTTTGATTGGGATCCTCTGATTGAAAATACCATTCTTTACTCAGAAAGATTTTTGGTCCTGGTCAGAAACTGTTCTGACGTAGAAGAATTTGAGAGCATAATAAAACTGGATACTCTTCATCTAACCTTTATGACACCCATTGTGTTGAATAATCCTACTTTGTCCAGTGCTTGTGTGAATAAACCTACTAAAAAAAATTGCACTTGTCTGATGCTTCATCAACCCAGAGATTTGACATATGCAAATTACTACCTGTAATAATATGTTTATGATTTTTCAGTAGAGAGAAATTCAACAAGACACTGCCTCTAATTAAAGTAGCAATTTCTTTTTCACTCTACTGAATCTTATAAGTGTGGTCTTGTGTTATGCCCTTTTCCCATCTAATTAGTGGCAACTGACTCTTTGGCTGTGTATCTGTGTGAAAACTACATTATCAGTATTCTGAATGTATTGGTGTTTGCTTAATGATGGAAAACTGGTTGAAACAGACAGACAATTTAACAGTAGGGAAGAATAATGCAACAGCAAAAAAACATTTACTGTCTCCTTGAAAGGAAGAAAAAGGTAGGATAGGAGGATAAAGCATCTCTGAAAATAAAGAAGTGATAGAAGAGAAGAATTTTATTTCTAAAAGATACTCAAAAGAACACAAATAAAATATGCAGTAGATGAGCCATGATCAGTTAACCTTTAGCATAATACTGGTGCATTTCTTGAGTCTTAGAAAAGTAGCTTAGTTTTTTGCATCTGTGGAGCACAAAATGGTAACTAAGTCCATTCCTGCATATTTCATTATTGACCTTAATCCAAACCCTGTAAAAATCAGTAATAAATCTTTCTATTTTATAAGGGAACTCTGTGTGTCAAGTGTAGTGTCAAGGGAGAAGAAGCAATTTTTCTGGGTGGATTAAAACTATATTGAAAATGAAGATGACATTAGGGAAAAAATAATAATAATTGAATTGCTTATTTGTATTTATCCAGCTGTACTAAGATCAGAGAAAAATTTTATAAACTTTACTTTTTTTTCCTCTAATTCTTCTTATTTTGTGATTTTCAGAAATCCTGCCAGAAACCTGTGGATAAATACATTGAGTATGATCCTGTTATCATCTTGATTAATGCTGTTTTATGCAAAGCACAAGCATACAGGCACATTCTTTTCAATACAAAGATAAATGTAAGTTGCTATGTCCCTACCTTGTGGCTTTTTTTATTAAAAATATATTTAGGTTTGGTAAGTCTGTTGTAATAGTTATAAAACTTTAAAGACTGTTCATCTCCTGCACTTCCACAGACTTCAGCAAGCTGAACCCGTTATATCATGAATAGAACACATGGAATCTCAAACTCCCACTGTTACTCAGACAGCTTCTGTCTTCACAGAAGTGATACTGCAGTACCAACAAATACAAAGTCATCTTACATGTTAAAGAGAAGGAGCTACAAACAACTGTTCATGCGGTTTTCTACCTAACCTCTAACCTGCCTATCATGTTAATTGGTGCTAAAAGGATGATGTGCTAAATTCCACTGTAAGAGAAAGACCTAATTGCAGATTAATTTTCAAATTGAATTTCTGTTGGAAACAATTCTTTTTCAAATGAACAGTAGGAGTATAACATATCAAATTAACAATACTGTGCCAGTTAAACTTACTGTACTAATTTCTCATAAATTTCTTTCTGTGTAATTAACCATGCCCTCAAAACCAGAGCAAAAGATGGTGGCTTTCACTTGAAGTGTGGTTGATGCAGAATTACTTAGTTGGGCTGGCCAGCCTGGAGTGTAGAAGTATAATGTTTTAGTATTGCATATTTTTACTCTAAGGACTGATTTCCCAGGAGAGGGAAGCTAATCTAGAGTGAAATCTCTAAACATAAGTATGTGTGTTCATGTTGGTACCTCTTAGCCAGTTCAGTTTAAGCAGTGTAGATAAATACACTTGCTTCATCTTTCAAGCATAAATCTATCTAAATATTTTTAATTAAGTCACCTCCTAGAGATTGGTAATGATGTTTCCTGTGAGGCTTCTGCAAGGACTGTCTGTGAAAAGTTCATCTATTAAAATAAATGGAGTTGAATTTTAAACTGGCAAAGTCTGTGCATGTATGTGCAGTTGGCATAACTTGCCTTCAATGGAAAATTTCTCCATTTTCTTCAGCACAGAAATTGTTATGGCTTGTTTAAATCTGTATAAAACCCGAAGTCACCTCATATATGCACTGCCTTATAGACTGTATATTGTGGAAACATGCTAACTGTTGGCCCTCACAACATAATTTTTGACAACACTTCAGAAGATACTTTAAATAGTTTTGTTTGATTATATTGCTCCCTTTATTTTTGGTGCCTTACCCTTATATGAGCTAAGAAATATTTTGGTATAACCACACTACCAGTTTCTTCTAATGGAGATAGTCCCAGGGAAAAAGAGAAACAAAGCTACTTAAACCAGTTTGCTGAATGGAGTAATTGCCCTTAAACAGAAATTTTAGATAGTATAATTCTGTACTAGCGATGGCACAATATTGGTTTTTCATTCCTAGATGAATAGCCTTCCCAATTTTAATAGTATAGATCAGGCCTTAACCAGAGTTATATACCCTCTTCTATACAGAACTGTTCATGCAGTTTTGTGCATGTTGTAATTTGACTATCATGTTAACAGATATTAAAAGGATGATGTGCTAATCTAGTGGCTCAACAGAAGTAATTTTGCTTATATACTAAAGAAAAATAATACACCTACAGTGTTTGTGTAGAGGTGTTTAGATGTATTTTAAATACTGATTTATTGCTAAGGCTTTAATTTATGCTGATTTAATACTACTCCTTTTATTATTCTTTCATTTCCCAGATTCATGGGAAGCTCTGCATATTTTGTTTGCTCTGTGAAGCTTATCTCAGGTGGTTGCAACTACAGGATTCAAGCCAAAATACGGATCCTGATGACTTAATCAGATATGCCAAAGAATGGGATTTTTATAGAATGTTTGGCATAGCTTCTTTAGGTAAGATTGGTGATTTATATTATATATTCTTTAAGCATTGAAGAACTTCAAGCCCATGCTGCAAAAATTGATACAGAATGGATGTGATGTCCAACCCAGTATGGTTACACAATTACACACATACTCTCTAATTTGCCTGCATTTAATGCAAATGCCTGTTTTGGTCCTGATGACAGTTCAGACTGATACAATCAGCATGAGATATGAAGAGACTGAAAAGTGGCAATATTCAGAAATCTTTGCCTCATATCTCTTGACATAGTTTGAAGATCATTGTAGAGTTCAGCCTTATTCCATATTTCTGTTGACTTCAAGGTTTATTATTCATTAAGGTGATACAGCTATTCCCAATTGTTTACTTCAGTATCTGCTTGAGGTTGGTTTTTTTAAACAAATACAGACCAGTGTAATCCACAATTAAGAGTAAATACTTCTGTGCTCTAAGACTGCACTTGAAGGCAGGGGAGTGGTTTTGTTCTATGCTGGTTAAAACAATTTTTCTCATACTTTTTCAGATGTGATAGTGTTTTAATCAAACTTGCAGACTAAAACCAATATTTTTCTTACACATTCAGAGCTTAATTTAAATCCTTTATTGTCTAATGTTGTTTTAAGTAGGTTTTTATAATGTCAGTAAAAATATTGAGCTGATTTTTCAGTAGTGACTCATCTATTACAATTATTGTGGGAGTTTCTTTGACATCTGCATTAATGCCAGCATATCACAGGAGTGGTGTCAAAAAAAGTCTGGTAGCTCAGTGGTGTTTTCACCTTCATGTTCTTTCTCATGCTGGATGAAAAGGGTTCATTGCTGGTGATCTTTTGCAAAGAAGGATTGATTTTGTTTTACAGCCTAACAGACAGCTGAAAAAAAACCCCTCTCTTGTTGCTAAAAAGTGAAAGTGAAGAGGTTCTTATGCTTAACTTCCTCTGCTATATGGAGTCAGAAATCACAAATATTATAATTCTCTAGATAGAATCGTGTGATAGAATTACTCTGAATGTCGTGATACTGAATTGGTTTAAGAAATATTTGGCTATTAAAATGAACACAGGAGATAGAGAACATTTGTATTTGCCAGTGGCTTTTAAAGTGTGACTCTATTGCATTTGGGACATGTCATTGGAACATGTAACTTAAATTCAGTGAGATCTGGACTTGATTTTTGGCATTTTGTTCTCTTTTTCCAATGCCTCTTATCTCCTTTCAGAACAAACTTTATTTTTCATTGGCATTTTTATTACCTTGTGGTGGATGACACCTGAGATGCTGAAAAGAAAGTCTGACTTCATCTTACTTCTCAAAGCACTGCTGTTGTCCACCTATGGAAAGCTCCTGCTAATTCCAGCTGTTATTTGGGAGCATGACTACACGCCTTTGTGCCTTGCATTTATAAAAGTATTTGTCTTGATATCAAACTCTCAGGCAATTAGAGGTACATTTTTGCATTTTATATACTGCATTATATGTATAGAATATTTGTGAGAGACTGCTGATGTTACAGAAGTCATTATTATTGTTATGTTCTAAATCTGTATCAGATACACGAATGAAATAGTTCTAGTTTAAAACTGTGTTCCTTAAATTTTAATAGAAAGTGATTGAAACAAAAAAATATTCTAAAAGGAAGAAAAAAAGTACCTCTTATCTCACCATTATCTCTTTGTATATATGGTACTATATCCACCAGATCCATCTGTTACAATTTGAGGCAACTCATGGATCATTAAAACATAAAAATAGATTTCTTTTGAGTGTCTGAAAAATGAAAATTTCATATTAATTTTAATGTCTTTGGAATATAGTGGTTTAACAAATTTGTGTGATTTCTAATGCACACAAATTATTATGAATTTCATATGATTTCTATGATCTTCTTATATGGTACATGATAAATTTGTTCTGGCTTTTTTTGCAGTTACATTGAACTTGAACCGACTACTCCCTTGGTTTGCCATCTTCTTTGGATTAATTTTGGAAAATGGTGTGGTCTGCTTGTTCCAGAAAATGGGATGGGATGTTTGAAATGTCAGCCCAGTGAAGAAATACTAACAACATGATGATCATTTTCTAAGAATGATCTCTGCCAGCAGGCTACAAAAGCCCTGTTTTCATAGGGATAAAGAAGGTGATAGATAACAAAAAAGCATTACAGGTTTGGCTATTTACTGTGCTGAGCCATAAAACTTCAGCCTTAGGTTGTTTATTTTCCCATTAAAAATATGAATGTCTCACTATCCTAACAGTTTTGTAAATCTGGCTGCATAGCTGTGGCTGTAAGAAGAAAGGTGCACTAAAAAAACCCAGCCCTGCTACCAATCAGTGCATTTTGGCAGAGAGAGGAGGATGAATTGTTCCCTTAAGAGGAAGGGAGTCAGTGGAAAAATGTAAAAGCCAAAATTTATATTTCCGCAAAAACAGATTTTCAAAGAGAAAAGTGAATATTTGCAAATAGTTTTTTAGAGAAAAAGCAAGTACTCCAGAGTGAAACTACAGTGGGAATACCAAGCTGCATTCTCCGGAATGTTTGTGTAACAATCCAAAATAATAAAGTATCTAGTTCTAGACTAATCTCTAGCAATGATAGTTTTAAACTGGCTTGAAATTCTAGGTGATCTCATAAATACTTGAAATTTTGTGTGATCTCATAAATGCTACTTTGTTCTGAAAGCTGAAGAGAACTGACCCCCAACATGCAGGGCTCTTAGGGATACTGCTTCTTCTGCATTTAAGTCACATCCCCCACACCCAGTCCTCATCTGGCTATTCATTTAATGGAAACAAAAATTGAAACATGAGGCTATTCAATAGAGTAGTAGTTTAAAATTTAACAAACAAACAAAAATGTTTAGGCCTAAATTAATGAAGAAACATTTGTAGACGTTCTGCACCTTCTTCCTCAGCAGGCAAAAGGAGAGCTAAGTGGCCCACAAAGGAACTGACAGAATCAGTTTCCACAAGACAGTAAAAAGGGCACAAACCCACTTTTGTGCAGACCAGTTTCCATTCATTCCATCCAATATTTTACTCTCCTGCTTGAGTTCTGGAAGGCTTTACTGTCCATAGGGATTGCTTCCATTATTTGTTTTCCTCAGATGCTGTCTCATGTCTGCGTTTTGCAGAATGAATCAAAAAACATTTTGCAACATTTTCAAGTTAATTCCCAACAGGTTTAGAGTAAGTCTAGATTATGACCACAAAAGACATCAAATGTGTTTGTCTGATGGAACTGCCCATGCTATGCAAGTTACTTGATCAGAAAAGCAAATGGTTGCTGATTCTCATTTACTAAATCAAAGGCTGACAGCCCTTTTGTTGTGTTACACTTCGCAACTTCCTAAGCATGTCAGAGAAAGCAAAAAAAAACCAAAATTGTAGCTTTTTTAAGTATGTGAGACTCTTAATTTGATTGTTAATTAATTAATTTCCTCAAGTCAAGTCTGTTTTGTCCATGACAGTAACTGGTGACTAAACTCTCTCCATTCTTATCTCAACCCATGGGCCATTCATTTTGTTTTCTCTCCAGTGCCTAACAGGGGAGTGACAGAGCAGCTTTGGTGAGCATCTGACATCCACACTGGCACAGGCAGTGGTTTCAATCTAGAGGCTGAGTGGAGCCCACTTCAGTGTAACTAATGCAGGTTATTATATGTAAACATGATGCTGTCAGCGGCAAAATTGTAAATACAATGTATATAAATTTTATTTGAGGACAATCTTCTTAAATTAAACTTCCTTTTGAATTTTTAAAAACTGATTTCAGGTATTTTCTGAGGTTTTTTTTCAGAACACCTAGAATGGACATGAACGCATTCTGAAAGAAGCAGTGTTTACCTATTGTGTCACATACACTGATATGTATCAGTTATGCACTCTGTAATGCTGCCAGGAGCCACCACTGCCCTTACACAACTTTGAAGCAAGAGAAGACAATTAAAAGCTGCAGAGCTGTGGAACAAAAGCAGGTGTGGTACAGGTTCTCAGTCTTCAGAGGTATCATTAATAATGTAGGGCATTCAGCATTGTTTGGTGTTAAAGTTACTCCTTTACCAAACCTAACATGACAAATACACTAGTATTCATAAATCTAGGGGGAGCTTAAGGGCACCCACTGGGGAGGGGGGGGTCAGCTGAGTGCAATTTTTATGCTTTTGAAAGCATATGGTGCTTCAGAGAGAACCAAGACTATTTTAAGGTTCTGCCTGTTTAAAACCATCACATCTCTCTTGTTTTTACTCTTTATTGTCTTTTGAGCATCTCTTTTTTCCATAAACTTTTTGTAATGAAACAGTTACCTGTGCTGGAAGATGGATGGCAAATAGCCCTTTCTGGGTATCGTAATCTGTTTCATTAAGTTGTAGGAGAGGATTTATTTGAGTTAAAAATACAGCAGCCTGGGAGTGAACCTATAGAAACTCTCTGAGTTTTGCTAGGAATCAGAAGGGATATTGTGGCCTATGGAGCAAATTCAGAACTGAGTTGCATGAAATGCACAGAAAAACCAGGGCTGTTACTGAGACTTGGATTAAGCAATGGCTTAGTGATTGCACAGTGGGAGCTGGGAACTCCTGTGGGTCCTTAGGCCATGTAGCAAGTAATTAGAAATTAGTGTATGCAAAATTTGAGAATTACAGTAAAAGCTAAGGAGGGTTAAAAGAGAAATAAGGAGTCTGGCAGACTTCTACAAAATGAAGATGGCAATAAAAACTAAGGAGATAGCGTCTCAAGAAAAATATGTATGAAAATATGCAGTATAGATGTTTATATCATTAAGCAAATATAAAGACATTCTACTACCCAGTTTACAAATGATGAACATGAAAGAAGAGTAGTATTATCTGCAGACATTTTTGTAATAGTCTAAGTGACAACACAACATAGCAAAAGATGTTTTCCAAACAGTAAAATCTATGGTTTCCCTGGAGAATATACCAGTAACCTATTACCTCAATGGTTTGCACTGAAGCCTTGAAAATACACTTTTATAAGACAGAATTAGCAACTGTACAGAATTACAGTGAACAGGAAGAGCTGTGCAACAGCAGAGCTTCTCCCTTTACTCTGCATTAGTGTGTGCTGCATTAGGCTTTGCTGGTGCAAGAGCTGCCACCCTTGTGCCCTCCTGCACATACAGACAAGGGAGCCCTTTCTTCCATACAAGTCCTCTCTCAGAGGCATATAAGCTGCCATTTATTACCCTAGTCTTCACCAAACTGAAAGTAAAGCAGGACATCTGTACTGGAAAACTATTAGTTGATTTCTCATAAAACAAGCAGGCCCTTGTTTCTCAGGGGCTCGCCTGCTTTTGCATTCCTTGAGCACTCCCCAGCCGACTGGTGTTAAGCACTGCAGTGCCAATCTGGAGTTGATGAGGAAACCACTGTTGATTTCAAAACTGGAAGGAATACACAGACACTCTTACATATGTGTACTTTGATTAATTTTTGGTTTTTAAATCACAAATCCAAGCTGTAAAAAATGAACATCCATCTTCAGTTTGGAGAATGAAATTAGTGATGAAAAACAGATCACAAAATGTTTGTTTTAGTGACTTGGTATCAAGGTCAATTCAAGATACAACCACAAAAGCTATTCAATTCAATTTATTTCAGGATGATATCTCTTAAAAACCTAAACAGTCCCACAAGCTGGGATTGTTCTGAATCTTGTTGAGCTCTGCAAAAATTCATGTGGCAGGAGAGAGAATTAATGCATTCCTCCACTGCTAAAAATAAGTAGGATTTTTGTTTATGAATTAATTTGAAACTCAGGTTTCTGCAGTTAAAATTTGCAGGAAGTTGTTTATAACAAGATTCCCATTTTCTCTCATGCCTCTTAGCTGTTCTGACCTTCTTAGTCTTTCTGGTAATGCTTACTATATTACTGAGGTGGCAAGAAAGAAGATACGAACATAAGGAGCTTCATAAAATCTTGATCTGCTGTCCTAAATTTGTAAAGCTGTTTTTGAACTCTGTGTAGACAAATGACAGGTCTGCAAAGCAACTTGGGAATACTGCTAATGATATTTTAATTGCTATTCATTAGAATAATAGCGATTGTTTAGGTTTGTTTGGGTTTTTTCCCCTGGGTAAAAACGTGGTTTAAATTCCTTTACATAGAAGCATAAGAGTGTGAACTTAAGAGATTTTACATGTGCTGGCTGCTGCTGAAATAAATACAGATGATCCCCTTGATTTCTTACAATCTCTGACTGTAATTCTGAGGACATTTTTAACGCAGAAGAACTGCTTTGCTGCACAGAAGTGCGTGCCATGGCTCTCTGAGCACAGGACTGGGGACCTGAATTAATACCTGAATCCTAATCCTGGCTCTAAGACTGACCAGTGCTGTGACCTTGAGCAAGTCATATATGTGGCTCCATAAAAAGATTGTATCTCCACCATCACAGGATTTGGGGGAGGATTAATTTGTTCATGTCTGCTTAGAAAGATGAAAAGCATTAAGTCCTTTCAGCTGCAGGTTGTTAGGAGTTAGTCAACACCATGAATGTCAGATATGAAACAGACATGCCAGGAGCCAGAGAATGTGAATATTAAAGGTGACATGTTTAAAGTCTTTGTTATACTAAGGGGAGCTTTAATTCTGACCCTTGCTGGCATGCAGTTCTGGAACATAAACATCTGAAGAATTTTAGGAGTATATACAGCAAGTCAGTGATCCCTTATTATGTTTTTGAAGTTATTGCAGCTGTTGTGTGCCAAAATAAATCTGAAATTAGTTTAAAAACTTGGAGCAAAGGGAACTGGCACATTAGCTGATCTTACTTTCAGCTAACTAGAAGAAAAAATAAGGTACTTTATTTGACAGTTTGAGACTTTGAGGTAGAAAGCACTGGTACATTTTGCAGAAAAATATCTCTTAAAATACTAAAAACCATTGGTATCTTTTCAGTAAACAAATTCAATAACATTGCACAGATTTAAACAAGAAAACAAGACCTCAACAACATATAAGCACTTCTACTCACCTTGCACTCTTTTCTCAGAACTGCTTATTCACTCTGTAAGCATCTGTGGGTGTTACCTTTATAGTGATTCCCTACCAGGCAAACTGCAGCCCATCTGATACTGTCATACATGCATCACTCCTTAACTTTGATCCTTTCTTTGGTCTCTCACTTCTCTTCCAGAATAAGGCTTTGGTTTTAACCATCAAAGCCACAGATGTATCATGTCTTGACTACAGTAGAGATAGTCTCTCTTTCTCTCAGTAGGGCTACAGCGTTCTTTTGATCACTGAAAATCAAAAGCCAACAGAAGTGTAATAATAACTAGGAAGAAAACATTTCCCATTGAGAACATGCAGTGGATAATAACATGCCACATACCAGCACCAGAAAAAGTGTCTTGGATTTTGCAGGATAGGGACCAAAAGAGAATGTATTACATTGAGCATACGCCTTATAAATTTGTCCAAAGCAGGAATCTGTTTCCCTCTAAGGACATTTACCCTACTTAGTAGTGTGAAAATGGCAGATGGGTTGCACAGCAAGGAAAGCACAATCTGCCTCTTACTCATTTTGTCCTGGGAGGGAGCAAAATGAAAACAAAACACTGATGATTCATGAAGAATTTTTTCAGAAATGGTGGACATTATTTGAACCCTTTTCTGTAGAGAAGCAAATTAACTTTGCTGTGGACAAACACAATGGCAGGTATTCATTGTCTACACAACCACATGACAAGACTTAGTTTGTACTAGAACTCATCTTTTCAAATGTATTCTGCTCTTCTTTAAGTGGATTTTTCCCTAAAATAGTTTTCTGTTCAACTGAATTGTGCAGTTTATGTAAATGATGTGTGTGTGTGTGTGTATGTGTATGTAGATGGAAGGAGAGGGAAGGTCAATCCTGTTCCCACAGCCTGTGCATTTTCTGCCTTATCTGTGTATGAAATGGTGCAGCTTCTGTCTTTTAAAGGTCCTACATTGAAAGAAAAGGCCATCAGCAAGAAAAGCACCTTCCTCCCACAATAGTTTGAGTATTGTGCCACAGAACAGATTGTATCAATGTAAAAAATAAGTAATGTCCCTGACAAAACAGTATCAGAAGTATGTAGCTATCACATCTCCCTTCTGTGTTACTCAGCTACTTTTATGTAACAAAATGCCAGCATGGTGATTCTAATCTAATTCAGCTGCACAAGCACTTTGATTGAAACTCAGAGAGGTGTTTTTAATCCTCTCCAACACGACCTAATAGAGGATGGCAAAACAGGAAGCCCTCGTGTGCAGATCCTTCCTCACTATAATGGCAGGGTGGAAGGTGCCATCTGTCATTTCATGACATTATATTGGAAAGTGCTGTCTCCTCTAAACTCTTTGCAGCAGCTGCTCCTGAAGGCTCGGCTCTTTGTCCTGAGCAGGCAGCTGCCTCTGCCACCCCCTCGGGAACAGTATTGTTTTCACAGAATCGGGCAGGGCGAGAAGTGATCTCGGAGGTCATCTGGTCCTTCCGCCAGCCACTGGGATGGATAGGCACTCCTGACAGATGTTCTCCCTGGCAGGCAGAGATTCTGGCTCTCAGAGACCAAAAACCTAAGCTGCCTTTCTCCTAAATTAGGAGACCTGTCAGCCCCCACTGCATGTAGCAGCAGTTTGATGCCCAGTTGTTTTTCAGCTATGACCATTTATTCAAGTAATATGATTGTGTGAAAATACAATATTTTACTTGAGGAATCCATTGTGAAGATGGTGGCTTGGTCGTTTAGAAAGTTTCTGTCCTTCAGTTTTATTCTC